CCAAGTGTGGCGTATGAGTGGCCACTGCTGGCAAGATGGAAGATCTGCGCATGCTGTTGTAAGCGTTTTTCCCGTCAAAGGAGAGAATGGTGCCGCCTTGCTGGTGGCTGAGGGCTGCTGTGGAAGCCACTATCTCAACTCCTCCTGGAACACCACCTCCGAACTGATTTGCTGCTTCGAAGATGTTCGCAATTCCTCCCTTGTACTGGCGGCAGAAGCTGCCGCTGATGATGCGACGCAAAACCCCNGTTTCAGTAAAAAAATCACTCATCCCACCAGCTTGGAGATACGAAAAACGAAGACCATCAGGCCCCGGAGCACTCTGAGGGTTGGCTTTCTTTACCGTCTGCTTGATGAACTTGATTTCGAATGGTTCATCAGCTTCGGCGACGGAGTCGATCTTGTGCGTTTTTATACGATCTGTGTGTGTGTGCATTTATTACTAGCATCGACCGCGCTACCGGGTGTATGTGTGTGTTTTTATTATTAGCATCGACCGCGCTAACCGGCTGACCAATGAAAAGACGTCAGTCTTAGTGCGGTTGAAAACACAAAACACTTCTATCTACCATGAACCCAGTGTGTGTGTGTATGTGTGTTTCGTTCCATTTATTATGGCGACAATCCCCCCATTTTTCGTGGTGAGACGTGTACTATTATAATACACTTGCCAGGGTATGTAGAGTGCTACACTTTTCAGATTATTTTCTCGGACAACTACAATCAATCATCCAGTCACATAGGGGGGGGTAAACTCCAGGGCTTTTTCCGTCTTTTTATTTCTTTTCATGCCCCACGTTCCTCCTGCGGTGCGTGCTGAATTTTATGCTTACCGCGAGAAGGGTCCAGCCGTCCCTTTCCCTCGTCAACGATGCTAACGTCGACTCACGAGCGCACATCAGCTATATTTCGCTTTCACCCGCACATTTCGTACATTTTTCACCCCATGGGGATCCGAACTCACGACCTCTGCGACTAGCGGTTTGCGGAGACACCACTAGACCACCGGGGTGACCGGCGTGCGGAGGATGACCATGGGTCAACGAGTGTTACTCGGGTCGCAAGCACACGTTCCATGCAACACACGAAGCACGAAGAGCTGTGTGCCAGAAGGAATAGGCTCAAACGCGCCCACATACCGCTGGGGGAGTGAACGAGGGGGGGGTGTTTCCGCTCCTCCAAAGCTCTTCCCGGCTGGCCAATGAGCACGTACGCCGTTCGTTCGCAGCTGGAACTCAAAACCCTTTCGAGCTGGCACACTGCTTAGCGACTAAAATATTAGTAGCTCTCATCGCATGGGCTTGCTTCCATGTCATGCACACCTTCGCACAGTCCTGTCGGAAGGAAATGGTGGCCACAAAACGCCAAAAAGAAACGGGAAAAAGAGAAGGGCTTGCGAGTCCTCATGAAAAAAGGGCAGGAACGTGGAGAGCGGCCGAGCGTTGGCGGTATACCTCCGGTTGAAGCAGAAGCAATTGCTGCGTTTGGAAACGGCTACAACGAAATCAATGAGCCCTTCTCCTTCGAACATCAATGGCGCACCACCTTTGTTTGTTACTGCAAGAGTACTTTCCTACATTATTGCTCAAGACTAGTCGGTACTGGTAGACGAGATTCAGCCAACGCGGTGCCGTTGGCATCACCTACAAATCGCGAGAAGGTCCCCCTCTCCTCCCAAAGCTACGTCAGATCAAGCCTTAGCCTCATTCAGCTGAAAAAGGAACCACCCGCGCCCAAGATTATGCGCTTTCATAACGTACGTGCTTGTCTCTTTCGCCATCCTGAACGCTCCTTTTTGCCCTGCTGTGACCAACGACTACGTAGGGCGGTTGCGCTTATGCATACGACCTCATGAGAAAGACACCAACAAGAACGACAAGATGAATTGCGCACCCTGCCGCCTTGCTCGCTACTGTCCAACCGAATCTTAACCTTCGGGTGGTACGACATCTATCCCCGCTCTTCCGTGGCCTGCAAGTACGGCAGGAAGCAAGGTTTCGGCACCAACTCCACTCCAAGCGCCCGCGATTTCGCTCTGCTCCGCAAAACCGCTCACACCATGCCCTTGAGATCAACGACAATGGCCTGCGAAGAGGAGGCGCAGAGCACGAACGGATGGGCGAAACGTCAGACGATACTATGCATGTATGCACACCAAGATTTGGCAGGCCTGGTTGATGTATGCATCAGACAAGAGACCTCCAGCATACGCGTTCAAAGAACAAGATGTTACGTAACCGTGACCAGACGAATCAACGACATGACACAACCAACGTTCAGCACCCAGACTGGTGCCTGGGTATCTTGCCGAGGGGGGTTTATCGCATGGATGTGCAGTCCACTCTTAGTCCCATGAACTTTGCCCGGGATCTTCGGTTCTCTTGTGCCGGACATGACGCCGCGGTAATCTGATTCCATGTTTCATCGATCGGGGATGGTGGGACGTACGTTCTGGGAGAAGACGACCAGCCCAGATCAGCAACCATTATCAGACGACCCAATCACATGACATAACCGAGTTCAACCCAAAAGACCGGTGATTGGTTATCTTCCCCAGAGGGGAATATCGCATGTACGTGCCGTCCTATGCACATGAGCCCCGTGGACCATTTCTGGTGGATCGTTGGTTCTTTGTGCAGGTCTGAACGTCACCGTAATTTGATTCCATATTTTATGGATCCGGGCGGTGGAATATTCCGATTAATACCACCAGCCCAGATCTCACGGCTTTCTGGTTCCATATCTTGCCGGCGAGCGCGGCCGGAGGGATACGTATTAGCAGACTGTGTGGCGAGTAGGAGGGATCAATAGACCGCTGTGTGGCGAGCAAGCGCGCGAGGGAAAGCAGTGAGTGTTCTGCACAAAGGCCGGGAGCTAGCCAGAAAGGCCGGCGCTCTCACCTCGACGTGCTCCAGGCACCCGGCAGCCGTCGCCAACTCTTCCACCTCGCCGGCGGTAAGGATCCGCCGCTCCTCCTCCACCACCTCCTCTTCGCCTTTGTCGTCGTCCTCGGTGGCAATGGTAAAATAGCGCGCCGGCACCTCCGGCAGCGCGGAAAACAACGACAGCGACCCCTTGAGGTACGACGTCATGCTCACCCACCACGGGTCCGCGGAGAAGTCGGTCATCCCGTTGGCCGCGTACTGGGGCAGGGCGTTCGCCAGGGCCTGCACGAAGCTGGAGACGGTGGCGGTGCACAGGGCGCTCGCCTGCTGCACCGCCTCGCGGACGACGTCCCGCTGGTCCTCGATGTCGTCCGACATCCTCTGCTTCTCCTCCACGTCTTTGGTGGGGG